AAGAAATACAAAATAACCATCAATCGGCCTCGGTCTGGAGCTCTGTGCAAGATCTCGCCTCATGGGGTAAGGATGTTCATGAGAAAGGTGAGGGATCAGCCCCGAACTACATGGGATGAGCTTGTTAATGATCTTAAGGCAGTTGGGGCCACAGTCACCAAGCAAAACATTGGTAACACACTACGCCGCAATGGTCTGAAATCCTGCAGCACCCGCAAGGTCCCCCTGCTCAAGAAGGCACATGTACAGGCCCGTTTAAAGTTTGCCAAAGAACATCTAAATGATTCAGAGAAGGCTTGGGAGAAAGTGCTGTGGTCAGATGTGACCAAAATTGAGCTCTTTGGCATTAACTCGACTCGCCGTGTATGGAGGGAGAGAAATGCTGACTATGACCCCAAGAACATCATCCCTACAGTCAAGAACGGAGGTGGAAATATTATGCTTTGGGGCTGTTTTTCTGCTAAGGGTACAGGACGACTTCACCGCATGGAGGGGCAAATGAACAGGGCCATGTACTGTAAAATCTTGGACGAGAACTTCAGCCAGAACACTGAATATGGGTCATGGATAGGGATGGGTACCGAGAACCGGTATTTTTTTGGACCGGTACGTAAACTGTTTAGTTTCCCACATTTTTCTAAATAACTTATGTTTAACAGATGAAAGAAACTCATTCAAGTTTAAAACAACTTGAGAGTAAGTAAATGATGACAATTTTCATTTTTGGGTGAACTATTCCTTTAATGTTAATAAAATAAAACACAAAGAGAAAAATAACTCACTGCTCTTGACTGAAGAACCCTAACCCTACAGTTGCTAAAGTTCAGCAGTAATAAAATAACTTTCAAATTTTCAACAACTTTTCACTTCATATCTTTTTGCAGTATCGGTATCGATGAAATGTAAACGATACCCATCCCTAGTCATGGATGGGTCTTCCTGCATGACAATGACCCGAAACATACCGCCAAGGCAACAAAGGAGTGGCTCAAGAAGAAGCACATTAAGGTCATGAAGTGCTTCTAGCCAGTCTCCAGACCTCAATCCTATAGAAAATCTGTGGAGGGAGCTGAAAATTCGAGTTGCCAAACGACAGCCAAGAAACCTTAAGGATTTAGAGAGGAACTGTAAAGAGGAGTGGATCAAAATTCCTCCCGAGATGTGTGCAAACCTGGTGACCAACTACAAAAAACGTCTTACCTCTGTGCTTGCCAACAAGGGTTTCTGCACCAAGTACTAAGTCATGTTTTGCTTGGGGATCAAATACTTATTTCACTCACTGAAATGCAAATCAATTTCTAACCTTTATATAATGTGTTTTTTCTGGATTTTTTGGTTGGTATTCTGTCTCTATACGTTAAAATAAACCTACCATAAAAATTACATACCCTTCATTTCTTTGTAAGTGGGCAAACTATATACACACACACACACATAACTCTATAGATGAACTGTATTATAAATGAATGAATTGAACTATAAATTGTACTTGAGATATTATATTTTTTATATAAAAAAAAAAAAAAAAGTCCTTCAAAGGATAGTGTGCCTTTGTCACATGTTGCACACTTTGGCACATAAAGTAGGTCAACCAGTAGTGCATGTAGAAATCAGCGCCATTAATGTTATTAGATGCAGTAGGTCTGAGTGACAATAGAATGATGAAAAAATTAAACAAAACAACAGTGACATATGTAATCTTTATGCTTATTAAGCCAAAATAGTTTGTGTCATGAGGGCAAACCTGACTAACATTCATTTTTGATTGCTACCCTGATATCACTTTGCATGCGACTTTATCAACATCTCAGGTATTTACATGACCTGGGGGTTTTAAAGTAGTATAATCTGTATAACATCTCTTGCTTTTTATAATGATTTTATGATTAACTTGATTAACTATGATCAAATGATTGGGGTCTGCAACATTCTTCAAAATGTTTTTAAAAGAAGTCTCTTCTGCTCACCAAGGCTGCATTTATTTGATCAAAATACAGTAAAACAGCAATATTGTGAGATATTATAACAATTTATAACAACTGTTTTATATTGGAATATATTTTAAAATGGAATTTACTCCTGTGATGCAAAGCTGAATTTTCAGCATCTCCATTACTCCAGTTTTCAGTGTCACATTCAGAAATCACTCTAATATTCTGATTTGCTTCTCAAGAAACATTTCTGATTATTATCAACGTTGAAAACAGTTGCTACTTAATATTTTTGTGGAAACCGTAATACATTTTCCAGGATTCAGGAGATTTATTTAAAACAGATTTTTTTTAGTAACATAATAAATAGGGATATTACCGTGATATATCGCATCACCGAATACCGGCACAAGTCTAGCGCTAATGCAGCAAACATGACGGCAGTGTGGAAACAGCTGTCAGAGAAAGACGCAAAAATCATTACAAGCACCGACAGCGAGAGACTGTTTAGTACTGCATCGCATGTCTTCGATGAGAAGAGGAAGGGTGGTTGTTGCTGGTTACTGTATGATGATTAAAATAGCGAAATGCCCTTAAACAATTAAATAAACTGCAGAATGTTATGTTTTCTAATACACGCAGGAATTGCATGTTCAAACAGCGCTGCACGAGCTCGCGGCAGTAGGGTTCAAAGTCCAAAGCGCAAGGGAAATCTGTGCTGAAACGGTGTTACTCGTCAGCTGCTCAGTAACATTTACAAGGTTTTTACAAGGCATGTGACAATGCGATATGTGCAACAAACGTCTTCCCAAACTCGTAATGAGTCATTTGTCAACAAAAAGAAGCACTGAGGTCTTCCTGCGGGTTTCTGCCAAAATAAAAGTTGAGAAAAAGCAAGAACTCCGTCAACATTAATAAATGTTATTATTGTAATTTTACTGTTGCTCTGTAAAATAAAATAAAAAACGAAAATAATAATGAAAATAATAATTACAACAGCTCTATTAAAACATTTATTGTAACATTTACACAGTGTTCAGACTAGGATCTATAATATTTTCTAATGATTTAAAAGAAGTCTCTTCTGCTTTTTACTAACTTATTAATTTTAAGTTAAGTTGTGTTTTATTGGTATAATGACTGCTAGAATGCTAAAAAATGTTCAGTGTAAAGTAAATATTTTTAAATTGTTGTTTGTAAATGATTTTTTTCTTTGAAAAGCAAGACAAAACAGTAAAAAGCACATTTTGGCTGTTTAATATATGCAATGGTGAAAAAATTGGCAAAATGGGGTAAAAAACGTGAAAAACCGTGTTCAGTATTCGGCCTTCGGCCCAGTGTTTCATTTTGTTCGGCTTCGGCCAAGAATTTTCATTTCGGTGCATCCCTAATAATAAATGTTTTTACTGTCATTTTGATCAATTTAATGCATCCTTCTTGAATAAAAGTATTAATAAAAATTTTTTTAAATCGTAATGACACAGTGTACATGTAAACACTCTCAACAACCTGGGAAGACATAAGAGAAAGACAAACCTAACAGAAGAAAACACAAGGCTAGCAATGAGGAAAAACGGCCCCATTGTGCCCTACAGCCC